TTTGGGCATTTCTCCGCTTACTGCAGAGCCACAACAGAGTTAAAAAATCCATGGATTTAGATGCAGATTGACCCTGTTTAATTCCAGTGCTCAAACTGAGCTGCTTCACCCTAAATTCTTCCATGTTTCGCACTCCAGTGGCATCAACAGGAACTGTATAAGAGAAAGGGTTTTACCTGAAGGAAAACGGGGCTAGATTCGGAGTTACAATATGAATAACTGATATTCCTTCAGATGCTGCCCACTGCTCAGCTTGGCGGGGCTGGAACCACCACTCCGTCCCCTCCCTGGTGCATCCCTGGCGCATCATTGTCACTCCTGTGCACAGCAGCAACATGGGCAGCAAGCAAAGGTAATGCACTGGCTATGAGTCTCCAGGGAAAGACACAGCAAAGCCACGGAGGCTGTTCCCCTTGGGAAACACCTCCTCTCTCCCCATGAAGCTCAAGCCCGTGCTCCAAAGCACTTACGGATGCGTGGAGCTTTGATGAAGTTTTGCTTTTGTGATGCTGAAGGCAAGTGCTTGGCAGCAGGAGGAGCAGGGAGATTCCAGGATCTAATTCAGTACTTGCTAGTTAAACACTGGACTGTAATCGCATCCCTAGGCAGAGCCAGAAACATATGAATTGCTTTAGCAGGCTGGTTTCATCCTCCTGCTATTGGCTGTCCCTACCAGGCAAAACGCCGATTTTCATCCTGGATGTTTAATATAAATATATGCGATTCAGAGGGAGGCACAGAGAGGGAGACAGCAAGTGAGAGACAGACTGATTTATAATATGAAAAAAAAAGTAAGGTCATTTGGCACAGGTTTGGGTGCTACAGTGCCAGGCAGCATGGCAGAGCGGGGCAGCCAATGCTAAGAGTCTCCCTTGATTTAGCTTTTCTGTGCTCACACAGGCTGAACGTGATGCCTGGGGTGAGATGGAAACAGAAAGCACTTGCCTCCTCCTCTGCCTATGCAGCAGGCTGCCCGGCCAGAGCACGACCAGCTGAAAAAATCAGCTCCAGTCCTTTCTATCATCTGTCCCCATCCTCCCCCTCCGGCTGCTCTGCTTCCGATTATCACCTGTAACGAATACAGCAGCTGCAGGATAAAGAAAAGCAATTTTCCCTTGTAATTATTTTCCCAAATTTCTGGTGAGATTAACTACAGCTATTTGGCTTTGCTCGGTGCTCGGTCAAGCTGTGCCCATGTGTGGGGCTCTTGCTCACTGCGCTGGAGAGGCCTCGGCAGAGGGACCAGGGTGTCCCAGGACAGGCTGGTCCAGGAGGGACTGATCCCGCCCGTGGCTAGTGGCTATGTCCCCGAGTGCCCAGTGGAAATGCCAACAGGCATTTAGTGAAGTAAGAATGCTATCCCACTAAAAATTTGACTGTGGGCGTGTGAGGAGGTGGCAATACAATGACATCCAGAGGCCACCACCCCTTCACTAGCCCTGAGCAAAAAGAGGGAAACATCCCACTCGTGTCTGAGACCCCCTTGATCCCACAACTGGGGAAACCTTTTAATCAAAGCGAGGGATCAGCACTGCACTAATGCATCCATCTCCTACAAATGCACTCCCCACTGCTCCCGACTGTAGAAATAATTAAACTCCGATTCCTTCCCAAACCTTTCCAGCACATCTAACCCAGCTGCAGGGGACAGGGGTCTGTGGAGCGGTATCACCATGACTGGCAGGACAAAACGGGCTTTGAACAATAAACTCCCCTGCTGTGAGCGAGGCTACATCTGTGCTGACCAGGCTTTCCGCTTTAATCCCCCCTTCCCCCAAAGAAAAGCCTTAGCAGAGGGGGTGAAGGCTTGCAAGGCACCCACGACCCTCCTGTCAGAGCCACCCGGGGACCACAGGATGGGCCACAGGGCCGCGGGGGCACCCACAGCCTGCGGGAGCTGCAGCCCTGACGTTCATCCCGGTGCCAGCGCGGGCGGGCTCCCGGCCCGATGGCTGCACTTTTTGTGAATAATTCATCCTTGCTATTGCAACACAACAGCACGCACACTGCAGTGCGTTTTCCAATGCTTTCTGCTTAATAACCAACGCCTGAAATTTTGCCAGAGCTCCCTGTGCTCTGTCTGTACTGTAACCAAAGGCTTGTTGTCACAGTTGTGAACATAAGCCGGTTTATCCCAAAAAACAAGGGCAGAGACTTTCTGTTTATCAAGACAGCTCTTAACGCCTGATCTCTGCCCCAGACCAGCCGCTGGAGTGTCTCTGAACATCCAGGAGAGATATCAAGGGAGCCCCAGACTCGCAACATGAACACTTAATCCACAGACTGATGGGATTCCCACCACAAATCCCAGACTTCCCAGGCACTGGGTCGCACTGCTTCGGTGCCTTCACAAAGGGGGATTTTACAAGGGTAGCCTCCAATAAATCAAAATAAAGCACATCCTAATGACAAGGGTTGTCCAGAGCTAGTTACACCTTCTCCACGGGGGCACAGTCAGCCCCCCGCAAAAACCAGCGCATCCCTGTGCTGGAGAGGAATGGGAGGAACTTTGAAGAAAGCCCTGGAATCACTTGATTTATTGGCTCTGTTTAGTGTCTAAATGAACAGCAACCAGCCAAGCAAAGAAACAGGACGAGATGCAGTATGATAAAACCAGCTACAGAAAGAGCTGGGAAAGTATTCCCACAGGTTTTCTTTTTATTTCTGATAAAATAGGCCTGTACCCTCCTTCTCCACCAACCAAGGTCCCTCTGCTATCACTGCATCAAGCTGAAGTTCTTTTCCTTGTGAAGAGACAGACGTGAAGAGGGGCTCTGTACTCCCTGGTCGTTAGACCAGCTACTAATTACACCACAGCGCAGAGCACTGAAGGGTTGTGGATGGCCAACTGACACGCAAGAAAGTGTAGAAACTTAATATTTGAAAGTTCCTGCAACATCTGACAGCAAGGCTGTGTCAAGCCAACGCTGATACCTGGGAACAAGATCCCATTGCTCCCTTGGAGGCCTCCAGGGCACTTGCAAACCCCAGCCCAGAGATGGGAGCTCTGGGACAACACCTGCTGGTTGTTGGTTGTGAAAGGAATTACCCATCAACTAACACGCAGACAAAAATCAGGTGCAACCCTAATGGGGTAAGTGCTGGCACACAAATAAAGCAGTGGGTGGTCAAGCACAGGGGAGATGAGAGAGATGTTCTCTCTGTTCTCTCCATATTCTCTATATTGTGGCATTTAGACCTTAGCAAAGAGTTGACTTCAACTTCTAGCAAAGGTTTGGCTTCAACTCACAGCCACCTCCTAAACAAGCATCTAAACCAGAAACCCAGGCAAATCCCATCCTACAAACCCTCGCCAGGGCAGAGCCAGCAGCCAGCACCACATGTTCACAGCCCCGGGGTCGCTGCGGTGCGGTCAGGGCTCGTTTACGGCTGAAACCTCACCCCTGCTATTAAAACCGTGACAAACCTCAGCTATTTCCCGGCTCTTCCAAGGAAAGGCAAATGTTACAGCAGGCTTGTAAGATAAAGCCTCGCAAATCTCTGGCATGCGGACACACTCGCACAACCGTTCCAAGCTGATAATTAAGGACAGCGATTGGTAATTAAAGACAGAGTGGCACAAAGCACTTTAAATTTTTTCAATAATTTCTTGTCTTTTGGGCCGTAAAGAGCTCCCCACTGCCACAACAGCGTAACTTTAATAATGCCCTGATGGGATGACAAGGGGTGTGCATTTCCTATTCTAATTAAGAAAAAAAAACCCACAAGGGTAACCGAGTTCCCGGGTCGTTACGCAGCTCGGTGGGCTGAGCCCAGTTCACAGGGTACAGCTTTGCAGCACGCCAGTCCCAACGTGCTCCATCTATTTCTGCCACTTGACGGGAAAGAGCAAATTTTAGTCACCAATACACCTTAAAGAGGCTCAACAAGCAAAAGTATGGTTACTACTGCTAATGAAATAGAGGTGTTTCTCCACATGTGGGTCTCTAAGGACAACAGAATAAAAGGATGCTGAGCCAGATCTCTGGGAGATACGGTCCTAATCCTATTTGGCCACGTGATCCTTTACTCCCTTGTGTCTGTTTTCCTCCCGTGTCCCTTTTTCCTCTCCTCTTCTCTTTCCAGACAAAGTTTTTTCACTGGATTAGTCTCCACTACGGCTACAGACAGCATCCACTCCAACAGGAACCAAAACTCTCTTGGGGCCACAAGCCAGCACCTGGATACAAATCCTGACTCTTCCATATTGTCGCTTCTTTTGTATTTCTCAATTCCTTAAACAAAAATAATAAATACATAATGCATAACATCACAGAAAAAAAAAAAAAAAAGGAGTCCTTTCCATTCCTATCAGCCTCATCCACCAATTTTTTGGCTCTCTGGATCCAGGATGTTGGCAGCCAGGACATTTTGCTGAGGACCTGGCCGAGGAGGGGACTGGGGTCATTTATTCCCTATTTTTTATCAACAATTCTCTTTGTACAAACGCACTGCAAGCGACAGGGTGTGTGGTGACCAGTGTCTGTATGTTAATTACCATCTAATTAGGATGTCTTGGAGCAGTTTTTCTCCTGCTCTCCAGTGCCCAGCATGGGGATGTTTGGAGGATGGGTGGTTCAGGTTTCCCAGTGTGTTTCCCCTTCCTGGGCACTACTGTGCTGCTCTCCCTCTGCAACTGGGATAGGAAAACGGAAAAGGAGAACACTTCTGGGTGAGCGCGAAGCAACTTGGTGACATGACCAGGCATGGGGAAACACTGGTGAGATTGGGGACAATTTGTGGCAAGCTGAGAAGGTTTTGTCTTCCTGGGTGCCTCGCAGCCCTGGCTAATGGTTTTAAGCACTTTCCTTCATCCAGTGGTGGATTTGTTCCTTCTGTCACTGCAGGTGTGCAACAGGCAGCTCCCACCTGCACCAATGTTTGCACATCATGGCCAAAAGCATCATGGAAAAACCCCCGTCCCCCTCTCCTGAGCCTGCAAGGACAGGGAGGGGACAGTGACCCCCCGGGATGACAGTGGCTTTTGAAAGTCGACTCACCAGGACTGCGGCTTCCTCTTCATGATGCCCTGGCGTCTCCACTGCGAGTGGGGGCTGAGGTGGTAGGTGAGCTGCCGGCAGAGCTTCTCCATGGCCCCGAGGGAGTCCCCCTCCTGCAAAGACAAGGGAGGGATGCCAGGTAAGGTGTCTGCAGCGTTGCCACCACCCGCAGGATGCTCCAACCCCAGAGCGGCTCCCCGTTGGGAGTGGGCAAGCCACATGGGACCATCCTAAAAACTGTATAGGAAGGGGGAAAATGAAACCCCACTGACTGCTAAGATGCTGCAAGGATGGGGTGGTTCATCAAGGGCCACCCTGTTCTGTGCACCCATGGACGTTGCTGCTGGAGAATGAACGCAGGGGTGCGTGGGTCCTGCCTGGTTAGGGATGACGAGGCCCCTTCCTGGCTGCTGTGTTGGGGTTCAGGGGATCCACACAGCAGCGTTGTCTTTTTGCAATTCATGCAGCAGCAGCACCGTTACTGTTTGACTCTACATAATAGCTTTCAGCACTAAAAAGTTTTACAGAGACTGATTAAGTAAACCAAACAACCCATCAGTTATGGTCAAAACTGCTTTACAGAACAGCAAACACTAAGAGACTTTGTGAGCTGATGGAGATCTCAGGAACAGCACTCATCAGAAGCTCTCGAAACATCTATTTATTAGAAGAAAAAAAAAAAAAGCTTCAAACAAAACAGGGATTTTGGCGGCATCTTCTCAATTCTGATGAAAATTTCCACATAAAAGGATAGTGGCTTACAAAACTTTAATTCTGAGAGTTTCTAAGGATTTGGTTCAAGAAATTTTGGTTCCTGAAAATCAAATACTGTTTAAATCTAGACTGTTCAATCATGTTTCAATTTCAAGATCTTTATATACTACGATGTGATACGACATCCAATAGTGTAAACCCCCCATCTTGCCCTGCCTGGCTTGCTCTCTGAAAGGTTACAAGCAGAGATTAACCTGACCTAAAGAATAATAATGATTTAAAAAAAAAATAAATTCAGGACATGACAATTTGGGGCATCTGCCTGGTTTTCTGAAACATCTTAGAGAAGACACAGAAATGGAATAGGAAGTACTAAAATAAGCAATCAGCCAGGGCTCTGCTCACCACTGCTCTTTGTTCACACTGATGGCTGAGGGTGGGTGCTGGGACAAGCTGGGCAGGGATGCTGAGGGAGATGCTGCATCTTCTCTGCCTGGACACCCCACCACTGCTGCCTTTGTGTCCTCCCTTCGAGCCTGAGCGCCCTGGCAGAGCTGCGAGCTGTGCATTTTGTGCAGCCTGATTTATGCAATGTATTCTCCCACCTCACCTCCAAGTCAGCAGAGCGGGACCAGCCTTATAAAGACATTATAAATATTGAATTAGCCAAAGAGCAATAGGGATTCTGACAAATCACCTCTGAGTGTGCAGGGAAACAATTACAGCAGGTTTTCTCAGGGTAAAAAAAAAAACCCACAAAACTGGGAGAGAAAGGGTCTATCTGCAGATGGCTGGAGCAGAAATATCAGTGTAGGACTTGTGGTTTTTAGCTTCTCTGTTCAATGCAGTCTGGAAGATGCTAAGCCTTGACAGAAATCGGGGAAGTTTATTCTCAGACATGTCCAGGTGCCTACACAGCGACTACCATTAATCAAAAGCTGATTTCATTCAGGGGCGATGCTCACCCAGCTCCAGCTGCGCCAACCAGCAACACAGCAACAGCACCAATGCTCACACCCGCCCCCCCCCACAAGTTTTTTGCTGGTACAAACGTGGCAGGACCATCTTCTTTCTCTGATAAGAAACTTTTCCCCCAAGCAGCATGCTCACACTGGCCCTTGGTGTGCAGCTGCCAGACCTCCTGAGCGGTGTGTCCAGACAGCTGGTGGAAGCTCAAGACCTGAACTTCACATAAAGCCAATTTCTGAGAAATTCAGCCCAAATAAATTGCCTCAACAGAACCCAGCAAATCATCCACCAACACCAATAAAACACATCAAGGGTTCCAAGATGCTAGAGCAGAGCAAAACATATTTTCAGTCTTATCTCTCTACATCAGTGGCCACAGCCAGCTCATCCTTCACATGATTATCTAAACCAGTCCACTCCTTCAGCCCTTTTTTCTTCACAATCAAGCTCAACTCATAAGCCCTGCAGGTATTGGGCTACTTCTATTTTGGGGTTTTAAAATAATGATTTAGAGAACATAACTTAGGTGCACAGCAACTCATGCATCTCCTTCTGGTCTCAGTACTGTATGAGGGTATGAGCCAGACACAAAAGTATGGTCTTTTCCACGCTGGTCTGTAGATAAATGCCCCAGTTTAGCACTAGGATAAATAAACAGCCCATTTCAGAGCCTTCATAAGACACATTATTTTGGGGTCAGGCTCCTTGCTTCTGCACATCTCGTTCCCATCACTGCACTTTATCTGCCCATGGGTGAGACACAAGCCTCTCTGCCTCAAGAGCCTCCTTTCTTTAGGTACTTTCCTAAACCTCTGCAATTCCTCCCGAGAGCTTTGCAGGAGGCTCCAGAGCAGCCCCAGGCCTGACCCCCAGCATACAAGAACTACCCTGGGTTGCACAAAACACTTGTGCAGAAGAAGGGATTTAGCTGATGCGGTGCCAAAGGCAGAGCTGGACACTCATCTTATGGTCTAAACGAAGCTTTTTTTCTGTTTATGATCCAAATCTATCAGGAAATAATTGAAGCTGACGCATGCCCTGGTGGGACTGAGCCCAAGACCTTGTTTGAAAACTGAGTCAGCTTAAAAATCAG